AATGGACGCAAGAGTGGAGGGACACATCGACAAACCACAGAATGCCAACGATTGCCAGAAATCCCTGGAAGCTGAGAAAACGGCACAGGACAGGCACTCCCTCACAGCTTCCAGAAGGTACCAGCCCTGCCAGCACCTTGGTTTCAGACTTCTGGAAGCTTGAGCTGTGAATGAACACATTTCTGTTGCCTAAATAACCCCGTGTACAGTAATTTTTCACAGCCACCCCAGGAAACTAATACAGAAACCTACTTGGGAGAGGCCTGCAACACCACAGCCCCAAAGCTCTCTATCAGTGACAGGGTGTGTGAGGATCTAAACCTGCCCTCTCAAGAAAGGCAGGTCACACCTGAGGCAGGAGCCACAGGGAGCACCCTTCTGCCTTAAAAGCTGAGGTGGCACCCCTTAAGAGGAGAGGAGATATGGAGGGCAAAGGAAACCAGAGGGAGAAGTAACCCAAATGCTGCACAAGGTTTTAAGTCCCTTGATGAAATCTTGGGCCAGATGGTGGCGTGGTGGTTAGGGTGGCTAGATCCCACATGGCTGAATGTGTGAGTGCATGCTCAAAATCCCTAGAGAAGAATGGAGGAGAAAAGACTGCAGTGTAGTCATCCCCCACAGAAACTTTCTCTCTCTCTCTTCCTAGTGCACACACCCTGAAACAAAATTTAATTTTTTTTTTTAAAAAAGCCTGAAACAAAATTTAAATTTTTTTTTTTTTTTAAAAAAAGGAAAGTAGAGGGGAAGGGAGAGGAGGGAAAGTGAGGGGAAAGATGGGGAGAGAGGAGAGGACAGAAGAGAGGAGAGGGCAGGGAAATGGAGGGGTGAGGGGAGGGGAGGGGAAAGGAGGGGAGAGGAAAAGAGGCCAGGGTTTACACAAGGGCTGCTTCCTACCTGATGCAATCTGAGAGACTAAGAAAGGTCCTCTTCCACAATGGAAAAATCCTTTTACTGGTGTCTCCTTCTATGTTCAGAATTCTCTGCCCTCAATCTAGATTCTCTGTGGGCCAGGTCTGAGTTTTGCCCTTTCTACAAATTACCTTACTTAGACCTCAAGCCAATCCTATGACAGGTTCCAGCCTCTCTTCCCCATAAAAAGAAACTGAGTCCCGAAGATATTAAAAATCCAAAGTCAAATAGCACTTGGGAGCGATACAGAGAGTCAAAATCTTGCTCCTCCTTCTCCTTGATGTCTCTTGCATTTGCGACAATATCATCTTCCTTCTTCCCAGCAGGAAAAAACAACTGGCGCAAGGAGAGAATTGAGGGCACCATGGGGAACAAGTACACCTTTGTCTTTTTCAATTTGGAAGCTAAGGTGCAAATGTGACAGGCCAGATTTTGCCTGATGAGGATGTAAAACGGTACAGCTGCATTGAAAACAAGGCTGGTGATTCTTCAAACAAATAAGGAGTTACCATACAATCCAGCAATTCCACTCCTACGTAACACCTAAGAGAAATTAAAACACACTTCTACCCAAAAACTTTTCCACCGATGAACATAGCAGCATTGTTTATAATAGCCAAAATGGTAGAACGACCCAAATGTTCATTATCAAATGAACGGGTAAACAAAATGTGGTATATCCATTCAATCATGTTAATATTCAGCCATATGGAAGAAGGAAGTACTGACATGTTACAACATGGATAAACCCTGGGATCATTATGCTAAGTGAAAGAAGCCAGAAGTTGAAAGCCACATATCAAATGATTCCATCCTTATGAAAGTCCATAAGAGGAAAATCTACAGAGACAGAAAGGAGATTAGTAGATTAGGTTGCTCAGGACTAGGAGAGTGGGAGAGGAATGACAGCTAAAGGTCTGAGGCTTCTTTCTGAGATGATGAAAATGCTCTAAAATTGAGTGTGGTGATGGGTACACATATCTGTGACTATACTAAAAACCACCGAATTGCACATTTTAAATGAGAGAATTGTACGGTATTTGAATTATAACTCAATAAAGCTGTCAAAAAAATGACAAGTCAGAGAGATCCTTAAGCCATGCGTCTAAATGCAAAAGGGCTTGAAATAAACCCAAGTGCCCAAGAAACTGTGCCTCACCTCCTGCTTCCCTCCATCCAATTCCATGTGCCCCGGGTCACCCACAGTTGACCACTGAAAAAAAGGTATAACAATATTGCACGTTGCCAACTGCAGAAATTAATTTAACTTCAGAGGAAACTAATTATGAATATAACCCCAAATGTTTCTCCAAGCTCTCCCGCCCTGTCTACAGCTATTAGCCAGAGAGCACTAGGGTTCAAGCTACAATTTGGCATTCCCTCTAAATAGTTTTAAAATTGGAAGGAAAAAAAATAGCCTTCATGTATATGGGGCTGGAATATAATTTACACACAATTACACGACATAGTCAGGGTACAACATTACCTCTGATTAAAACAACAGTAACTCACCTACAGGAGAATGTGATCTTGTAATGAAATGATCAGGATGCTTCGGCAGTGAGCTCAGGCTCCCCACCCTCAGCTTGGAGCCCTCTGCCTGGCTCCCTCCCAGGCTAATTTTAAAAGTACTAAAAAAAATGTGGAAAAAGCTGCTGCAGGGGTGACCTGTCCACAGATTGATATCAGAGTAATATCCTAGACCGTAGCACTGCCCCGTATTGGGCACTGGGGGTGGTAACAGAAAAGGTACGGAGCTAGATGAAGCCTTGGAAAGCACAGGAAATTAAGGATCCTGGTCCACACGTCAACTGCAGCTGAGGGAGGTGGCCGGCTGGCCATCGTCCCCATCACAGACACCCAAGCTTCTCTGCATCCACAGGTAGTTTCTCCATCACTCCATCCTTCTCAGGCACCCCCCAACCCCATCACTCCCCACACAGTGAGCTGGAGTCACCACGCAGAAAGCCCCAAAGATTTTCTCCAATGTTCAAATGATTACCAATACACAGACACAATTAAAGCCCATAATCTTTTACAGCAGTGGTATTAAGCAAAATTAAATAAGTACCCTTTACTGTTGCTAAATTTGTGACAAAGCTGTGCATTTTCTGCATACAAAACAGGAGTACTTTCGAAGTCCCAACCAGGGAAAGACAGCCAGAATAGGGTCTTAACAAACCTCAGAGAGAGGTGGAAAAGCACGTGCCAGACAGGATGGCGGGGCTGATATGAACTCAGTCCTTCCACCTGTGCCCATCACTCCCCAGTAGCAGCCCGATTCATCCACCGAGGGTGGATTTTTCTGAAGATGCAAAGGATGACTCAACCCGTGGTACGCGGCAAGGTCCTGGGAATGGAGACACAGGTGGTCTGGGGCCCCACGGCTAAGGCACAGGGTCAAGGCAACTCTGCAGAAATGATCCAAGTAAACCAACAAGTTTAAAGTATCTTGTACCTATCCACTCAGTTTTCCCTTTTCAAGTACATCATCACTTATACTGAGATATCCTAAATAAGGGACCCTTCTTAGTCAGGTCAGGTTGGGTCAAGTCCCTTAACAGCTCTGAGCCTCACTTTGCCTTCTATACAGTGGGCATAAAACCCAGGACTAAATAATGCAAAATGAGGCAACAAATGTAAAACGGTAACTCTGAGAACACCACTCATAAGAGTTTTCTGTAACCTCCAAACAAGGCACTAAAGAAAACCCAAAACCCTAAGCCTATATCTTTTTCTTTTTCTATTTATTTAGCCATAGGGTACAGGCACTTGCTGGAGATAGACAGAGAGAGAAAAAGAGAGAGAGAGAAAGTGAGAAAGCACCACCCAGGGGGGATGATCAGGCTGCAATCCCTTCTCCTCTGTTGTCCTCTTGGGATTTTGGTCATGCACACACATGCACCAGGTGTTTTTGTTTTGTTTTGTTTTGTTTTGTTTTTTCAGTCCACCAGGTCTACACTTGAACTGCACAGTCGGCCATGTGGGATCCAGCCACCCTAACCACCATGCCACCAGTTGACAGGAGCCTATGTCTCTAAACACAAACCTTTCTCGAACCTTCTCCCTCTGGCTCAAGCCTGCCCGGTGCCTATTTTTAACCTGAAGAACACCAGAGGCTCTTCTAACAGTCTTACTCACAGTAACAGAAGCCAGGTCTAGGCAGCAGGATCGTGGTGAGTTCAGAGGACCCGCCGCCCCCACCCCACCCCCCCGCCACCTCCCTAACTGCTCTTCCCTGAAACATTTCAGGTTATCTGGGTAGCATCTAACAGGGACAAGTGGTTTCTACAATGAAGTTAGGAGCTTCCAATTTCCTTGGGACCAGAGGTAATCACCACTCTGTTACCTGCCATGCAGCCTCCACGGCCACCTTCAGTAAACATGAGAAAACGGCTGAGAAGCCTAACGTGTCAGCAAGAACGGTCAAGACTGCAGACTGTCAGATACGGGACAGGCTAAGAAAAAGCAAGCTTCAGAGGATCCCACTGTATCCTGGGGAAGACTGCCCGAGAGAGGAATCTTAGAACCTGCCCTCCAGTGAACTGGGAGCCACCTGCGAGAGTGAGGCCTTTTCTCATCGGTAACAATCGGACCTACTCTTCTTTGGAGAGAGAGAGGGAGAAAAAAATTGCTGTAGGCAGGTTCTAAAGCCAAGATGTCCCATCCCCCAAACCCTCCAGTTGATTTCATGAAAAGAACAAATGGCAGCCTTAACCCTTAGCCCTGATTACCTTCATTACCGTCGTTTAGATGTACATGGCAATCAGTTCCTGATGAGCAAGTTTCACCTAATCCCCAGCACTGAGCGGCTGTGAGCACGGACACTGCAGGGGTGCGGGGCTTTTCCACCCTGGTGGCACAGTCACCCGGCAGGCCTTAAACCTGACTGAGACCCAGCCCCAACCTCAGGGATTCTGATTGCATTGGTCTGAGAGGAGACCCAGGCATCACTATTTTTTCAAATGCTCCCCAGAACATTCCAGTATGGAGCCAGAGTTATGTAAGAAGCTTACATATGTAAGTTTCTGCCATCTTAAATGAGAAAGGGAGGGAGGTGGAGGCCTTGACAAAAGCAAAGGTTCTTTTTGCCTCTCTCAGCTCCATTTGGTCACACAGGGCCCCATGTGTGCTTGGCGTGTTTTGGGGGAGAGAAAGGAAGGCCCTCCCAAAGCATAGCAGACCTGCATAAAGTGACTTCTCTGTTCCTAGGAGTGTGAAGGTTGGTTCTGGGGGCAGGGGAAGCAAAGGTCCTTTTTCATTATTGCCCTTAATGAGCACGGGGGTGGGGGGGTAGAGGAGAGCAGAAGGAGCCTGGGATTCGAACCAAGGAGTGTTGGGCTTGAGTCCCAGCTTGGCCGCTTGCCCACTGTGTAACTGTAGGTGAGTCACATGTAAAGTGGGGACAATCCCTGCATGTCACAGGGCTGCTGAGACTATCACAAGAAGTGAGTTTGTTAAATCACCTGGCACAAAGCAAGTGCTCAGAAAACTGCTGAATCCCAGGGCAGGGAGGACGAATACCAAGGAAGTAAGAGGAGGCACAGGAGTGTCTCTGGTAGCAAGCCATTTTTGGTTCACTCATCCTCTTGTCAAGCATGCCTGAGGACCTACTGCGTGCCAAGCACTGTGCTAGGATCAGTGGGTGTAAAGTCGAACGAGGCCTCGTCTCTATTGCAAAGGCGCTTACAGTCAAGTAAGAGATTGTGCTATTAGTAGGTCAGTAAGGGTCTGGGGATAAGAGCTAGGCATGACCTGGGTTTTGAAGGTCTGTGGGGGATAGCCAGGAAAGAAAGGAGAGAAGGGCCTTCCAGCAGAGGCTAAAACATCTTCAAAGTCTGGCAGAAGGGCTGCTAGGAGTTTCAAAAGACTGTAGCACCAGGTGCCATGGAATGCAAAGAAGAGAGATGGCCAGGTCAGAAAGGGAAAGCCCTGCAGGCCATGCCAATGAGGTGGACTTCCCTGGGTTTAAACAGGAGAGTAACTTTTCAGCAAGGCTAGTAAAGAGAAAAGCAAGGTCACTGAAGTTAGGGAGAGGGGGAGATTGGGTCATTTTAGTGCTTAGATGCTGGCAAAGAGGTATAGGCAAAAGAAAAGCACGCCCAGGACGAAGATGCCCAACACCAGTCCCAGTGACCAGCACATGGCCTGGGGTCAGCACCCTCATCAGCAGATCCCTTCCTGCTCTGCCATTCTACTGTTTCAGAAACGTTCCAGATTAGGAGGGAAGGTGGGGGCCAACGAGAGATAAGCACATTGCACCCTCGGCGCAGTGGTCTTTGGAAACACAGTCATCTGCTAAGTCATAAATTTTACCTGTCAGAAAAGAAAACACCAATTCTTCCCCCCCAGGATGTGCTGGGCTGAGACCCTCCACCCCCCACCCTCCACAAGTAACTGCCTTTGAAGGAAATGGGGGGAGGGGGTACCAAAGGAAGTGTTTGTAGTAAAAGAGAGAAGCCAAAATAATCATGAACAAGACTTTCTACCTCTTACTGAATGTCTCACCCCTCAAAAAGTGGAAGGTGATTTTTCTAAACCCCAAAGGGCCAGGGAATCTGGACAAAGAACCAGATCCTGAGGTTTTGGAGTTGGGAGAGCTGGTTTCTATCCAAGTGCCCTGATCAGGCAGAGGGATAGAGTGAAGGAGAAGGAATTTAGGACATCTAAATCTGTCATATTTTTACTAGGAGACTATGACAAATGACTAAACTTCTCTGAACTCTTCTACAAAATAGAATCCAAAGAGCTAGCACATGAAACATGCTAGGCACAGTGCTAGAATGACAGGCAAACAGAAGTTTCTTTTCTTTCCCTGCCATCTTTTCTTCTCCACCTCCACCTATTCATCTGTGAATGGGGATCAAACCTTCCCTGCCTGCCTTATGGGCTAAACAACAGAAGAAAAAGTACTTGGATAAGGCATGAAGCAGTCTGTTAACTTAATGACTTACCAATTTTCTTTCCTTGGGTTTCTTGAATATCACCCTGAATCAGCCCACCCTGGTAGTGGTGCATGGCAATGCGGGTACTCCAAGGGTTGAAGATGCTCAAGGCTAAAGAATGCTATCTCAATGCAATCCTTATCTGCCTTACCCTAGGTTGCTCCTTACACTTTAAGGAGTAACAGATGGTTCTACATTAGGAAGGTCATTCTATATAAGAGATAAAGCTGTCCACTCCCCAGAGGTAATATTTCTCTGCTACACTAATATCCTAATACAACTGTGCTGCTCTCCTCAAGACAGGAACATATTCCTATAAATCCTCACATAAAAGAAAACTTTATTTTCCAGAGGAATAAATGGGGGCGGGGGAGGATAACAGTCACAGCAAAAACATCACCAATGGAACAGAACTCAGTCCGCCAGGAATGTTACTAAATGTGTGGTGTTGCAGATGTTTTATAGCCTTGATGTCTGTTCTATTTAAAACCAGACAACAGAAAAGAGAAAAGGAAAAGATATGTTCCCCAGTGCGCCCAATCCAGCTCACTGGTATAGGCTGGCTGTTTATTGAAGCAAAGAGGCAACTGGGGACCCGTAGCTGTCGGCCGAAACATGGAGGGCTCATTTTGTAGCTCACCCTGGAGGGCCTTCAAATCAGCCACACGGCCCAGCAGATAGTGCTCAGTGCTCTCTGAAGGGCACTTGTGCCTGAAAAACCAGGGTCTTCCAAGGGGAAATCGACCTACACCTCGCAAGCGCTTAATAAAACCTAGTTCCCTTCCCTCAAGGAAGAAAAATGTGCCCAGTTAAACCTCATCTGTCCAACAGCACTCATTTATTCCCTCCATAAACATTGCTTGCACTTGTGCTAAGGACAAGATGCAGGGCTACAGCCTCAGTCAGGACGCCCCACAAGAAGAAGCTTTGTAAGGGAGGACCATGGCCAAGTCATCCTACAGAATGGAAGTTTCCTAAGAGAGGACCATGGTCAATTTGTCTTACAGAATGGAAGTTCGGGGCTTTTGTCTGTTTTGCTCACGCCTGTATTCCCAGCACTGAAAAGAATGCTCAGCACACAGTAGGCACTCAGTAATTATGGGTGGAAACAAATGACTGAATGAATGTTCCCTGCTCTGAATTACTTTGTGGATAATTCAAGGGCCCTGGTCACCCTTCTTGGCTCCTCTTTTTCCTCTTGGTAATTCCAAACACTCTTTGTTGCTAAGCTGGGCACGAGCACTGAGGAGATAAAAGGCTTTGTTCCTAAGAAGAGCAGCTGGCCAAAGTTCTGTTCAGCAGCGACGGAGGACGCAAACACAAAGTGCTCCAATCGAAAGGTCCTGTTAGACCGAGTCAGGCAAACCTTTCCCCACTGCTCGGACACACACAGCTAGTGATTTGATAGGGATTATCCTTATATATGAAAAGGACAATGGATGGCTTTTGATAAGAAATCAGTTAAAAGGTCAAGTAAAATATGGGAGGGGCTCGAAACCACAGCATTCACGGATTCAGAGACAATTTCTAGTGTCTGTAGAACCTGTCCCCGATTAATTCCATTTGACATCATTCATGAGTACCTAGTCTCTACCAAACCCTGGGATCCCAAAATGAAAGACTGAGTCTGTTGTCCTAAGTCCAATGCTCTTCTAGGAGCCTCGCTATCCTGACACCATGGCGGGATGCACAAAAGAGACAGAGGGGAAGTATGATGGACCCTGTCAGTAGAGCCGGGGAAGACTTCAGGAAGGAGATGCTGATGAGAGTTTTCACAGATAAGCAGGAGTTTTTCAGGAAGACCAGAGAGAAGGGCAGGTAGTGTCACAACAGCATGAAATCTCATTGCCTGTTTCAGGCACTGAAAGCTTGGCATTGCTAGAAATCAAATGGAGAGGAGGATCTGACAGGCGATAACAACAGGTACATAGGTTGTCAGCTACAATGGCACACACTGCTAAAACACTGTTCTCTGTAGACTGGACCATACAGGAGGCCAGGGTTCAATTCCCAGTCCAACCTAAAGGCCAGGAATGGCAGAATGCACCTGTAATCCTGGCAGTTCAGGAAGGCTGAGGCAGGAAGACTATGGGCTAGAGCCAGGCCTGGGCAATACGGCAAAACCTCATCTAAAAGACCAGGCAGATAATGAACGCATGTAGACCCAGGTAGGGCGCTGAGGCAGGAGGACCACGACATGGTGAGAAACAGCCTTTAAAAAATAAATATTCTTTTTTAAAAAAGACGGAATACAAACATGGACAAGGGTTATATTAAAAGGAGTCTCACAGACCATAACCAAGAAGACTGAACTTCATCCTACAGACAAAGGGCAACCAGTCAATGATTTTAAGCAGAAGAATAATAGGACCAACTCTGTGTTTTAGATAAGTTATTCTGTAGAGGATGGATCTGAGGGGTTAAAAATAAGAGTCTATAAGAACAGTCAGAAGCTTATCATAATAGTTCAAGATGAAGGCACTGTGAACTAAGGCAAGGGTCTTTTGCATAACAAAGCAGGAAAAGATTTCAGAGAGAGTAGGAGACAAAATGATCAGAACTGGGTAAATGGCCAGATGCAAAGATGAGGGAGAAGGGGCAGGAGTCTTGAATTTACTGGGTGGCTGATTTGATGGCAGTGTCACCACCTGAAATAAGGAAGCAGGCTTGCAGAGGAAAGATAAGTGTTCACTTTGAGTATGTTGAATTGGCATTACCTGTAGGACAATTTGTATATCTGTTCTGGAGTCCAGAAGAAAGATCAGGATAGATCAGGATAGATGATCGACACTGAACTCACCAACGTCAGGTGGCCACTAGGAAAAGAAGCATCTGAGGAGAAATCCTAACATTTTTTAGAAACCCAAAGCAGCAACCACTGACATGGGAGAGAAGCAAGACAAGCTGTTTCGCCAACTGTGACCCACAGTCCTTCAGTCTATGCCCTTCCCTTGAATCTAAGTAAGCTTGTGATAGTTTCAACCAACAGGTATAGCAGAAGAGAAAGCACATGACTGCCAAAGCAGGGTCATAAAAGGTGCTTTAGTTACCAACTTGGTCACTGGAACACTTGTACTTGGAGTCCTCGGTCACCAAGCAAGAAGTCCTACTTCTCGAAGCTGCCATGTTGTAAGGAAGCCCAACCACACAGCCAGACCATGAAGGAGCACCACTCTTGGAGTCATTCCAGCCCAGAGACCACATATATGAGTGAAGAAGCCTCCAGATGATTCCAGCCTGCTGCCATCAACTCACCCCAGCTTTCCAGTCTTCCCAGTGG